TATATATATATTGTCTTTAAAAATAGAAAGAAAAAAATTGAAGAAGAAGAAGAAGAGAAGTCATGTTAAAAGCGAATCATTTTATACATTTCATTACTATAAAAACCCTGGAATGATAGACTGTTTTGATTCATCTATATAAATAAAGGGCAATTTGTTTTATTTAAGGGAGGCTATTCTATTGTAAATTAAAGTAAACGCTCTTCAACTTGTATTGTTCCCTTTAAAGTGCATAGAAAATATATCCTGCCCTTTTCCACTCCCACACTTTTCTCTATATTTTCCTGGTTAACAATTCTCTTTTATTCTTTTTCTATATATACACACAACAAACCCAACCCTAGTTCTTTCATTTACCTTTATACCTCCTTCAACAAGTATTAAACTAAACCAAATTAAAGGGTAGCGCCATCGATCATCAAGATAATGAAGGATTGTGGGAAGAATAGCAACTCACCATGTGCAGGTTGCAAGCTATTGAGAAGAAGATGTGGTGAAGACTGTGTTTTTGCACCTTATTTCCCAGCTGATGAACCCCACAAGTTTGCCAATGTTCATAAGGTCTTTGGTGCTAGTAATGTCAGCAAGATGTTACAGGTACGTACGTACGTTATTCCACTTTAATTTCTTCTTTTATTTTCCCACTTACTTTTTCTTTTCGTTAGTGGTTTTTTTTTTAAATATCAAAAGATTTTCCAGAATAAAACGGAAGATCTTGATCTCTACTTACATGCTTCATCATGCAAAATATATCTTCCCAATTTAACTCCTTTTTTTCTTTTTGGTTTTTGGGTGCGAGTCAAACCTGTTTAAATTTTAGCGTCTGAAATATCATAATGCCCCTGCCTTTTCCCGTTAAAATACTGTTTTAACACGATTTTGCATTATATGAAGTATGAGTAGTCTACATGAGATGGATCTAAAGACTCGTTTAATTAATATTGCACACAGAAGCTATATGCACTTGGTCTGAACATGCTAATAGAGAAAAGATAAAGTATTTTAACGTGTGACCACATGCAACAAAATCCAAAAGTAGGAGTAAATATAATATATAACAGAGACAAATATACAAGTTTTTTTCTTCTGAACTATGCTAATTCATTTTTTTCAAGTATATGATAAGTCTATTTTTTGTTGACCCTAAATCCTAGTTCGCTTACATTAAGTATCCTAAATTATATATTTCTTAAAATGCACGGTATATATAAAAAGTAGAAATTAATTCTAACCATATTTGTCCCTCTTGATCTGATCAATTGTGCCAAATTTATTATCTATAATCTTTATGGTTTATTGTCTCCAAACACTCACATAAGGAAACCAAGGTACTACTTAATTCTACTATTTCTTTTCAAGTTAAAATTCTCCCATTTTAAGGTAATCTGGTCATATTTTCTTTTTGTTATAATCTTTTTGAAGTGGCTTCTTCATTTAAGTTTAAAATATATATATATATATATATATATACGACCTTTTATTTTTCAAGTTTCAACTTTTCCAAACCCTATTTGGGCAGTGGAAAGAGAAGAAGCAAGAAGTACTTTATATAAAGAATGAGGCTTTAGTTAATTAAATGAACTACCTTATATTGCAAGGGAAAACTTTGCTAAAAAGAGTATATATAGGGAGACTACAATCATCAAAATGTACTCGGAGGGGAACTTTTTTGACCACTTCTTTTGGTCAGATTTTCAAGTTAATTTATAAAAAAAAAAACAGTTTTGTCTGAGACTTAGTCCCCAAAAATTAATCGAAAAGACATGTAATTAAACTACATGATCCATTACCATTTTCTTCTATTTGTGGGGCGTTGGATGGGAAACAAAGTGCTATGTTTGTTAGTTGAAAACCGTTTCATATGTGTCAACAGTGAAAAGTATTTTAGTAGTCTATGTTTATGGTCCCATACATAATCCAAGAAATTTTGACTATTGAATAAGGATGAACTCCATGTTGAACTGTTCTTTTTTCCTGAAATTTATTTATTTATTTATTTATTTATTTATTTATTGCGAAGGATTTGAAAGTCATCTTATTCATTTAATATGTGAATATGGTCACTATCATAATATGTATACTTATAAAACTTAATTTCTCAAGGTGGACACGTGAAGCTTTTCCTGTCGGCATTTCTCATAAAATTTCTGGGGTTGTTAATTGGTCTCCTATTTTAACTATTAAAGGCCAAAATAATCAACTAACCTCAAGAAAATAACACATTTCCTACTTCTTTCGACCACAAAAAGAGATTTTTAGATATTAGAAAATCTCCTCTCAGACATAATTAAAGACTCCTCTGGTTTGACCTCAGAAAAGGGTGACGACTTCTCTTTTTTCTTTTTTCTTTTCATCCTTTTTGACTAACACGTCCATTAGTTATTATTCTCAGAAAATTTATGACACAAAATTGATGTCAACATGACATACTCTTGCAAGTCAATTCCCTCTTAGGTCCTCAAGGTACAACCCAGGCCCATTAATTAGCCTGCCACTCTTATTAGTAAGCCTATAAGTATTCTACCTCCAATAATGTTTAAGAAGATTTAACCAAATAGCTGCCCATCTAACCGCTTAAATTAAAAATATTATATATACATACGTATGTATCTCGGTTAGGAAAAATAAATCGTTAATCTGGTGGGTTATTTGTGAAAAGATCCCACTAAAAGATGGGCTTGGGCCCACAAAACTCTCTATCCATGATTTGTTTCTGCAATGACAAACTATGCTACACCCTTTTCAATTGGTCTATAACAGTGTTATCGCAGAAAATCCCTGCATTATTTTTGTTCTGCATAGATATCTAGTTAGTGATTGTGTTATGTAATTTTATGGTCTACATTGCGGAAATGATATTAGGTAGCCACTTTTAAGCATATTGTTTCAAATATATTCACAGTTTAAAATATATTTAAAGACTAGCCAATTTCGCTCAAACTTCAGGACACGGCGTCCTAGAGTTTTAACGTCAAAGTTCAAACTTCAGGACATCGTTTCCTACAGTTCGAAAATTGTGTCCAGAAGTTCGAATCTTATGTCCTGAATTTTAAATTAGCAGTTCAGAAATTCAGGACACTTATTCCTGAATTTCAAATTAGCAGCTCTATGAATTTCCAAATTCAGGATACTTAGGCTCCGTTTGGCCATGAGTTTTGCCAAAATAAATTTGGGATTTATTTTCAAAACTCATGTTTGGCCATAGATTTTGCCCATATTTTGGCCAAATCCCAAATCCCAAATTTCGAATCCCAAAATCAGCTATTGAGCTGATTTTGGGCCAAAATCCCAAAACTTGGGAATTATATACATGTTTTTTTCCAAAATAAAGTTGGAAAATATGTTTTGAAAACGTATGTCCAAACATATTTTCATCTTCAAACCAAACTTTATCCAAATCAGATTTTTCAAAACAAATTTGGGATCTATGGCCAAACGCTAGCTTAGTTTTGAAGTTTGGGTGAATTGACTAATCTTTAAATACATTGTAAATCATGGATATATTTTAAATAGCGGGTTTGAAAGTGGCTATTGCCGCACTTCGCCCACATTTCTAGTGAAATTCGGGTTGAGTTAATTAACGTCAAGTCAAACGCAGGAATTGCCAGAGCACAAGAGAGGAGATGCAGTGAGTAGCATGGTGTATGAAGCAAATGCTAGAGTTAGAGATCCAGTATATGGATGTGTTGGAGCCATTTCATCTCTTCAACAACAGATCGATATGCTTCGGACCCAACTAGCTATGGCCCAAGCTGAGGTGGTCCATTTAAGGCTAAGACAATCTGCAGGCATTACCACTAGCCCAACAAACAGTGGCTCTCCTTCTTCCCACATAATGGGCTCTCATCAGCCCAAAGGATATTTCCATATGGATTTGGATGTAGACCAGTCCAACAATGGCTTCAATGAGCCCATATGGCCATGTTAGATGAGTTTTGCCTATTTTAAGTTCAAAGTTTCGTGTCCTTTTGCCTCTATATACTTTTTTTCTTATGAGAGCAAAGGTGATGATTAGGTACTGCTAATGAGTGTATTAGAATGAAATCAAACCCTTCTAAGGGTGTATTAGAAAAGATTATTATCCTTGTGCTTGTGTATATATGTAAGCATTATGAAAAACTTCTTGAAGATTTGGGCTTTTGGCACAAATTTGTTGGAAGAAAATACCCTATATATGTTGATTTTGTCTTCTAGTCTTAATTTTGTTGTGAAACCATCTTTAAACTCCATGATTAATTAACAGAAGGTCATCGAACTTATAGTCTAATTGCATAAGAATCATCAAAATAACATTTATAACAAAAAGGAATCACTAAACTATCATTAATTATCCTAGAATATCAATTTGGCCAAAAATCATCAAAATAACATTTCATGAAATCTGTGATGCTGATGGCGGAGGGTGGGCCAAGCAAGACTGGCAGGCTTCTAAGTTGGCAAACTTTTCAAGGAGTGATGCACATGTCACTTTAGCCGAATCCCACGTCGGAATGATAGGAAAGTGAGTACTTTATAAGACATGGCACAAGTTAAGCTCACATATAGTACACGCGCTTTTGGTGCTCAAGGTGGCATAGCTAAAAAAACAAATCTATGGAGACCTAGTCCCGAAGCGGACAATACGTGAATCGTGACAAAATCATCGAAACACACATTTTTTACTAACATTAAACAAGAGCCACAAGATCAACACATAATTAATATAGGAAATTCACATTCTTTCATTAAATATAAACAAGTGAGAGTACAATACTCCAAAATTTAGAAAATGAATGAAATCAGAAATTAGGGTCAGTGAGCTCTCCATTCAAGAACTCTCTATAAGCAGCAACAGGCCAGCTGAAGCCTCTCCAGACGAGCTTGTTAGCCAAAGGAACATCAATAATGATTTCCTTCATAGTTGGTTTCTTGTCATCTCTTACAGCAATCAAGTAACTCCTTCCAACCCACCCAATCCAACCAGCAATGTACAAGAAGAGGATCCCTGGTGTGATAAACTCTCCCCAGTGCCTTTGGTCTCCACTCACTATCAAATGTGGCAATCCATCTGATCCACACAACAGTCCTTGTTTCCCATAGTTGTCAAACCTGCAAACCCAATTTATCATTCATTATTATGTATGGAAAAAGTACATAAAGGGCCGCCCGTGCACTGAGCTCCCGATACGTGCGGGGTCGGGGAAGGACCGGGAATCCTGCATTTCTGCAAGAGTTTGTCTCCACGGCTCGAACCGTGACCTCCTAGTCACATGGCAGCAACTTTACCAGTTATGCCAGGTTCCATTCGTACCGACAAAATACATAATTAGTAAAATTCCTAGAATATAACAGCCCAGCCCGCCCACTAGTGATATTATCCATTTTGGGCCTAGGATTCACCTAACATAGAAAAACTTGAAGAATGAGGGAAATTGAAGACAAACCTGCGCTTGGTTTTCTCAACAGTGGCCTTAATAGCAAGGGCAGGAGCACTATCAGGCGCATAAAGTTTGAGTGAACTCTCAAGTTTCTTGATCTGTTGCTTCTCACGCTTTGCAAACTGCTTTGATTCCTTGCATGGAGTGAGCCCCGAGATGTCAGCAGAAGCTGGAAGTACTGGTGCTGACAACAGAATAGAAGACAAAGCAAGTGCAGCAGAAAAAGCCTTTAATGAAGAAGAAGTTTCCTCTGTTGAATTAGATGAAGGGGTTTGGTTTGAAGAGCAAACAATGGTTGAAGTTCTTGGTTTTGTGCTAAACTGAGAGCTAAACCTAGGTGTTGTTATGGATTTTGAAAGGTTTGTAGGAATAGTGAGAGACATGGTGTTTTTTTTCCCTACTTTTTTAAGGTATTATTTTCAAGAAAAATGGTAGAAGAAGGAGAGTTTGGAGATGGAGAGTGGAGAGTGAAGGGATGGTTTTTAGAAAAAGGAATATTAGTGATGAAGGAAGAGGATAAGGTAGGGAAATGGAGTAGAAGGGAGCTTACGTGGAGGGGTTTGATTGGATAATTGAGTAAGATTTTGTGAGTTTTGAGATTCTCTGAAATTTTTATCTGTGAGATTATCTGTGGAAGAGCAAGAACCAGGGATTACAGATATAGATGCGCCTCCTATGGTGTGGCCTCCACGTGTCTTGAGGATTTGGAATTTTTTTTTGCAAGGGTAAACTCGGAACTTAATTTCGTGAAAACTACTAGTACTCCATTTGATAAGGATTTTGAGAAGTGAAAATTACACAAAGAGGAATTAAGTAGGCGTTTGGACATATAGATTGTAATTTTTGAAAATAAAAAAATAGTATTTGAAGTTAAGTTGAAAAATAGTATTTGAAATTTGAAATTATATTTGAACATGTATTTCACTTGAAAAAATATTGCAGTTTTGTGAGTGAGGAGAAAAGTTTCGAAATTTGCAAAATTTCATGGACAACTATATTTTTTTTTAAATTAAAAAAAAGATTTTTTTAATGACAAATGGTGCCTAAGGGCACCTCATACCTTCACTCCAAATCTTTACTTCAAAATGGAGTAACTCCAAAATGGAGTAAACAAACTCCAACCATTACTCTAAAAAAGAATATTCCTTTTATGTTCTTCTCTCTCTTCTATTATATATTATTATCTTTAATTTAAATTTTATTTTCTTATTTTCATTAAAGAGATTCTATCATTTTTTTTACATATTCATCCCATATAATTCATATTTCTTTCTTATATAACCATTTAATAAAATTATTTTGTACCATAAATTTTTAAATAATATAATTTTCACGCAAATATTATAGATTTATACATATTAATGGATAATTCAAATAAAACTTAAATCATTGAGATACAAGATAATTCAATACATATTATATGCACGAAAATTGATTTATCAAAATTATACGTCAACATTAAGATGTAAAATTAATATTATAATGATATTACATAAACATAATTAGGTATATATATATATATATATATATATATATATATATATATATATATATGATAAATTAAAAGGGATAAATAATTTTAAAAATAATAAAATAATAGAAAATAGTGATGGAGTAGATGAATAGTGTCACAGTAAATTCAGAGTGACACTATTCACCCTCCAAAATGGAGGCAAATTTGGAGGTGGATTGGAGTAAAATTCCTCTATTTTTGACTCCAAAATGGAGTTTGGAGGCAAAAATGGAGTAGGGTTGGAGATGGTCTAAGCATTCGGCAATTGACGTCAACAAAAACGTTATTACTATATATTAAAGGGAAAAGGTCCATAATTGTCCCTCTACTATGATATTTTATTTACTTTTGCCACCCGTTATACTTTTTCTTCAAATCTGTCCCTTCCGTTAATAGCGTTTGCATAATTGCCCCTAACCCTAACGTCCCTCCACTGTGGCAGCCAACCCCTCTAATATTTTGTCCATGTCAGTTGCCAAGCCAGCAGGTCCCACTAATTAACCCACCCTTTTTCTTATTAAAATATTCTCATCTTCTTCTCCCTCTCTTAAGTCTTAACTCAAGAATTATTTTGGTCATCAGTCAAAGATCAAAACCACCAGATTTGAAGCTTTGATGAATGCTTCCAATGGAGTCTTTAAATCTCTTTCCAATTCCAAGTTATCTCCAGAGTAGCTAATCATGATTTTATAGCCCAAGTAGTTAAGTTCAGATGTTTTGAAGATCAAAGATTAGCTCCAAATCAAACCCGGACAACAAATACTCCTAATTATCTTTTAAAAATTCAAACTTTAAAGCCTAACGAACCCAGGTAATGGTGTTCTTCAAAAATTCTACTCCAGATCTTAGTGAATTTTCAGCTCCAAAAACACACAACCAACTGAATTTAATTCCCAATAAACAATAATATATATTTTTCTCCTCATTTGAATAATTTTTTCCTAGCCACAACTTCGATCTCCAAGCTAACCTAGCACTAGGTGCTTGTAATGTTCAACTCACTTTCCACCGAACAACCGCCAAATGATTCAAACACAATCAATAGAACCTCATTTGTTCTTGTTCTTCATTGAGAAATCAGACGTTTAACTAAAAAATTATCCAAAATAGAAAAATCGTGTTTGCTTCATATTTGTTCTTCATGGTTTGCTTCTAAAATCTGATATCTCACTAATTCTTGTTCTTCATTGAGAAAACTGGTGTTTAACGAAATATTTATCCTTGATCTCTTCTCCTGAAACTTGGATTTGGAAGTTGGGACTAGGCCACCATTGCCGAGCTTAGAACGTCGAATCTGGGTTTGCATTTTCAGAGGTCTGAGGTATGTTTGTTCTGAATATGATAAGAAAATCGTCGAAGACCCCTTGAAATCTAGAATTATAAGCGAATCCATAAAATGCGATTGACGAGTCGAGGCTCTGAAATCAGGAAATTCATGGAAGTTGTGACTCAAATCAATTGGGTGTTCAATTTGCTTGTGGGAAATACCTTGCGAAACTTGTACTGATATTTGATTCCGTTTGGAGAGGATTCGAACACCATAAGCTGCTCGGTCTCTTGGAAATTCGAATTTGAGGTTTAAAAAAGAAGAAAGAAAGACTGAAATTGAATTTTGAAGAACTCTACTGACTTGGCAGCTGACATGGAGAAAATTGAGGAGGTCAACTGTCACGGTGTAGATCCGTTAGGGTTAGGGAAATTATGCAAACTTTGTTAACAATAGGGATAGATTTGGACGAAAAGTATAACGGGTGGCAGAAGTAAATAATATACCATAGTAGAGGGGCAATTTTGGACCTTTTCCCTATATTAAATCACCTTCTTAAATGGAAATTTAAAAAAGATAAATCGAACATATTAAAATACATATTTATTTACCCGTAAAATGGTAGAATTGAATTTATACGTGGTTCCTAGACAAGTGAACTAATTCGATCATGAAATAATGAAAGAATTGAGGAAATATGTAACACTTAGCCTTGATATAAAGATAAAATAGCTGAAATAATGATTCCGGTGGCGAGGCCTCCGGACACAACAATAATAAGAACAAAAAGTAAGAACATAAAATTGTATAGAGCTTTGAATAGATTATAGTATCAATTTGCCAGAAAAGTAGTGTCCTATACAATGATAACATAGCTCACTATTTATAGCTACGCCTAGGGAACAAGGTCCTAGGATCGTGCCCTTCTTTAATGTCAATTATGAGGGCCATTGATGAATGTGTAATGGTGAGCATAAATGACAAATTCTCTGTAACGGGTAGTGCACTAAATATTGTAGAATATTCTTCATTAAATGCCACCGGACGGAGGGTATTTATTGCATCTTTATGAGTGTAATTCTTTTCGGTGACAAACAGGATAATTGCCTTCGGTTCTAACTGTCCCCCGCCTTAAGTTCCACGCCTCATTCTCTTAAGCGACCAATTAGCATGGCGTATTTTTATCATATACAGATAGCCCCCCTGATTTCCGGTGACATAACTTTGTGTCATCGAAAAGTTGGTTGAAACACTCTTTTTGGCGGGAAATACTATGATTCCTTCTGAAAAGCTTCAGACGGTTGATTAGACGCATGCCTCTTCGCATTTAATGCCCTGAACACGCGTCATCCCACGATTCAGCATAGCTTTTGCCGGTTATTGAGGTAATCATAGCCATGAATTTAGCCGCCTAAACTTTTACTTATACGCATCAATCTTCTTCACTAATACTCCATAACTCTCCAAACTTTCTAAAACCTTCTTTATTGTTCTTGAACCTTTCTTCAACATCTTTCAAACGAAAAAGCTTTTCCTTTATCCGTAACATATAATGGCTTCCTCTTCAAAGAACACCAGCTCTACAAAGAGCAAGAACGAAGCTGAGGACGCAACTCCTCCAACAGTGGGCTCCATTATCCCTAGAAGTCTTGTTACAACAAAAGACTTCGAAGGAAATTCCCTTCGGCTGACCCTCGTACATGGGCCATTGGCAGATACACGTGATCCGCCCTTCCAATATTTCTATTGTGAAGGAAGATTGTCACTTCCAAGATTTGGACATTGTTTCTCCTGATCTAACAGAGCGAGTAAACCTAACCAGGGAGGGTTTACATATTTTTACACGTATCCCTTTACTTTGGGTGCGTTCTCTTTGAGCGGAGAGCTTGACTCCGTTACTGCAGAGTTCTGCCTCCGCTACTAGGTGTGTTTGGCACAAGTAAGTCCTTTTGTGTGGAGGATGATTGCTTGTCTTTAGCGTTTGTGTCAAGAAATGGGAGAGGAGCTATCTTTGGCTCATATGATGAATCTCTATTCTGCTAAAATCTTCCGCGGGGGAATGATAAATTTCAGCAAACGCAGCCACCATGATTTATTATCTAGCATGGATGATGATAACGATCGTGGGTGGATGGGATGATTCATTGCAGTTTCCACCAATGGCATTACTCCGGCAACGACTTCATCCTTTCCGAAATCGTGGAATTGCACTCGTAAGCTCCTTGTTTAATATTTCTTTCATTAGGGATTTTTCCATATCCGTATTGATCCTCCTTTCTTCGCCTGCTTCAGCAACTCGATGGGTGGATTCCACCTAGGGTTGAAATCCTGGACCAGTGGGTCCAGAAAATCTTAGATGTCATTACGTCCGAAACCCGCACGTGGAAAGAACTAGCCCTCAAATATGGGTGGAAGGCCAAAAATCATGGTAACTTAGACTCGTCTTGTTTTTGCTTTTTACATGAGGAAATTGATTGATCCTTCTCCCTTTTTTCTGAAATCAGGTCTACTCGCGGGCTCGGTTGTCGTTCCCAAGTAGGACATTTTGGCTGATCCTGCTAATGCGGCGAGGCTTCTTCAGAAGGTGCTTACTCGAACAGGTGTCTCCGGGCCTTCTTGGGGTACAAGTGTTTCTTCACGGAGTCCCCGACCGAAGAATAAGCAACCCAAAAGAAGGCTTTCCTCCGCGGCTGGGAGAAAGAATA